AAAAATGGGGAAAAATGGGAAAAAACTGCAGAGCAACTGCCAGTGGATCTCCAGCATGGACGTGCATCCGGGAGGTGAGGGGAAATGGGGAAAAATGGGAAAAAATGGGAAAAAACTGCCAGTGGATCTCCAGCATGGACGTGCATCCGGGAGGTGAGAGAAAATGGGGGAAAATGGGGGAAAAATGGGAAAAATGGGGAAAAACTGCCAGTGGATCTCCAGCATGGACGTGCATCCTGGAGGTGAGGAAAATACCCCAAAAAATGGGAGAAAATGGGGAAAAATGGGGGAAAAATGGGGAAAATGGGCAAAAAACTGCTCAGCAACTGCCAGTGGATCTCCAGCATGGACGTGCATCCGGGAGGTGAGGGAAAAATGGGCAAAAATGGGGGAAAAATGGGGAGAAAATGGGAAAAAAATCAAGAAAAAATGGGGGAAAAATGCGGAAAAATGGGGATTTGGCGAAAACATTTGGGATTTTTTGAAAAAGGGTTTGGAGGAATTTTCACTATTTTCCCTGATTTTTCATGATTTTTCTTGGTTTTTCCTTATCTTTCACAGTTTTCCTGGGTTTTTCACATTTTTTCCTTTTTTTTTCACAATTTTCCATGATTTTTCCTAAGTTTTTTTTCCTTATTTTTCACGGTTGTCTGGGGTTTTCCCATTTTTTTCCTGATTTTTTTCACAATTTTTTTATGATTTCTCACAATTTTTCATGTTTTTTCCTTATTTTCCATGTTTTTCCTGGTTTTTTCACATTTTTTCCTGGTTTTTTATAATTTTTCATGATTTTTCACTGTTTTCCCCATTTTTTCATGATTTTTTTCACGTTTTCTCCAGATTTTTCACGATTTTTCACTGTTTTCTCCAATTTTTCACAAATTCTTTCCTGATTTTTCACGCTTTTTCACTGTTTTCCTTAATTTTTCACAATATTTTTCTGATTTTTCACGACTTTTTCTGTTTTCCCCAATTTTTCACGATTTTTTTTACAATTTCTCACGATTTTTCACCATTTTCCACTGGTTTTCCCCAATTTTTCCTGATTTTTCTCCACATTTTTCACAATTTTTCACTGTTTTTCCCAATTTTCCCCTATTTTTCCCGATTTTTCATGATTTTTCCCATTTTTTTCCATAGGTGACCACGTGATCTGCGGGAGCTACGACAGCAAACTGGCCTGGTTCGACCTGGACCTGTCCACGCGGCCSTACCGGCTCCTGCGGTGAGATTCCGGAACATTCCGGGGGTTCACAGGATCCCAAATTATCCCAAACTATCCCAAATTATTCCAGGTCGTTATCCCAAATTGTCCTGGGTCATTGTCCCAAATTATCCCAAATTAATTAACCCACATTGTCTCAAATTATCCCGGGTGATTATCCCAAATCATCCCTGGATCCCATTTTTTCCAAATTATCCAATCTCATTATCCCAAATTATCCTGGGTCGTTATCCCAAATTAGCCAACCTCATTATTGCAAATTATCCCAAATTAGCCCAAATTATCTAATCTCGTTATCCCTAATTATCCAATCCCTAATTATCCCAAATTAGCCCAAATTATGCAATCTCATTATCCCAATTTATCCAATCCCGAATTATCCCAGGTCATTATCCCGAATTATCCCGGGTCATTATCCCAAATTATCCCAGGTCGTTATCCCAAATTATCCAATCTCATTTTCCCAGATTATCCGATTCCATTGTCCCACATTATCCAATCCCATTATCCCAAATTATCCTGGCTTATTATCCTGGGTCGTTATCCCAAATTATCCTAAATTATCCTAGGTCATTATCCCAAATTATCTTGGGTCATTATCTCAAATTACCCGACCTTGTTATCCCAAATTATCCCAAATTATCCCGGGTCATTATGTCAGGTCATTATCCCAGGTCATTATCCGAAATTATCGCAGGTCATTATCCCAAATTATCCAATCTCGTTATCCCAAATTATCCAATCTCGTTATCCCAAATTATCCCAAATGATCCAATCTCATTATCCCAAATTATCCAATCCCATTTTCCCAAATTATCCCATCTCATTATCCCAGATTATCCCTGTCTGTTACCCTAGTTTTTCCTGGCTTGTTATCCCACATTTTCCTGTTTTTCCAATATTTTTCCCATTTTTTCCCTACTTTTTACTCATTGTTTCCCCATTTGTCCCATTTTTATCATTTTTTCCCCATTTTGTCCCGTTCTTCCCATTTTTACCTGTTTTTCCCCATTTTTTCCATATTTTTCCTGGTTTTCCCCATTTTCCCATTTTTCCCCAGTTTTTTTCCCATTTATTTCACTTTTTTTCCCCATTTTTTACCACTTTTTCCCATTTTTTTCCCATTTTTCCCATTTTTTCCATTTTCCCCATTTTCCCACTTTTTCCCCATTTCAGACACCACCGCCGCGCTCCCCGCTCCGTGGTGTTCCATCGCCGTTTCCCCATTTTCCCCCATTTTTCCCCATTTTTCCACCATTTTTCTCCCGGTTTTTCCCATTTTTTCCTGGATATTCCTGAGATGTTTTTTCCTTTTTTTCCCATTTTTCCCGGGATTTTTTCCCATTTTCCCCATTTTTCCCCCCATTTTCCAGGCACCACCGCTGCGCTCTCCGCTCTGTGGCGTTCCATCGCCGTTTCCCCCTTTTTCCCTTTTTTTCCCATTTTTTCCCAGGATTTTTTCCCAGGATTTTTTCCCCATTTTTCCCGGAATTTTTTCCCATTTTTCCCGTTTTTTCCCCATTCCAGGCACCACTCTCCGCTCCATTGAATTCCATCACAGTTTCCTTATTTTTCCCCATATTTTTCCCATTTTTTCCCCATTTTTCTCCATTTTTCCTGGGATTTTTTCCATTTTTTTTGAGATTTTTTTTCCCATTTTTCCCATTTTTCCCCCATTTTTCAGGCACCACCACCGCGCTCTCCGCTCCGTGGTGTTCCATCACCGTTTCCCCATTTGTTCCCATTTTCTCCATTTTTCCTGGGATTTTTTCCCATTTTTTTTGACATTTTTTTCCCCAATTTTCCCATTTTTCCCATTTTCCAGGCACCACCGCCGTGCTCTCCGCTCCGTGGCGTTCCATCGTCCTTTCCCCATTTTTCCCCTTCTTTTCCCATTTTTTCAATTTTTTCTNGGGAGCTACGACAGCAAACTGGCCTGGTTCGACCTGGACCTGTCCACGCGGCCGTACCGGCTCCTGCGGTGAGATTCCGGAACATTCCAGGCATTCCCCAGGGTTACCGGGATCCCAAAATATCCCAAATTACCCCAGATTATCCCAGGTTGTGATCCCAAATTATCCAATCTTATTGTCCCAAATTATCCCCAATTATCCCAGGTCGTTATCCCAAATTATCCCAAATTATCCTGGGTCGTTATCCCAAATTATCCCATGTCGTTATCCCAAATTATCCCAAATTATCCCGGGTTGTTATCCCAAATTATCCCAGGTCGTTATCCCAAATTACCCAATCTCATTGTCCCAAATTATCCCAAATTATCCCGGGTCGTTATCCCAAATTATCCCCGGTTGTTATCCCAAATTATCCCACATCTTTATCCCAAATTGTCCAATCTCATTGTCCCAAATTATCCCAATTTAATTTATTTTGGCTCATTATCCCAAATTATCCAATCCCATTATCCCAAATTACCCAAACTCAATATCCCAAATTATCTTAAATTATCCTGGCTTGTTATCCCAAATTAGTCAATCTCATTATCTCAAATTATCCAAAATTAACCCAAATTATCCAATCTCATTTTCCCAAATTATCCAATCCCATTATCCCAAATTATCCCAGGTCGTTATCCCAAATTATCCAATCTCATTATCACGAATTATCCCAAATTATCCCAGGTCATTATCCCAAATTACCCTAAATTATCCCAAATTATCCTGGGTCGTTATCCCAAATCACCCCATCTCATTATCCCAAATTATTCTGGCTCATTATCCCAAATTATCCAATCTCATTATCCCAAGTTATCCAATCTCATTATCCCAAATTACCCCAAATTATCCCGGGTCGTTATCCCAAATTATCCCAGTTCGTTATCCCAAATTATCCAATCCCATTATCCCAGATTATCCCCATTCATTATCCCAAATTATCCCACATCTTTATCTCAAATTATCCCTGGTCATTATCCCAAAGTATTCCGGGTTGTTAGCCCAAATAATCCCGCCTCTTTATCCCAAATTATCCTGGGTCATTATCCCAAATGATCACAAATTATGCCAAATTATCCAATCTCATTATCCCAGATTATCCAATCTCATTATCCCAAATTATCCCAGTCGTTATCCCAAATTATACCAGGTAGCCCCAATTATACCAGGTCGTTATCTCAAATTATCCCAAATTATCCCGGGTGGTTATCCCATTTATCCAATCTCATTGTCCCAAATTATCCCCAGTTATCCCAGGTCATTATCCCAAATTATCCTGGGTCGTTATCCCAAATTATCCCAAATTATCCTGGGTCATTATCCCAAATTATCCTGGGTCATTATCCCAAATTATCCCGGGTCGTTATCCCAAATTATCCCTAATTATCCCGGGTCGTTATCCCAAATTATCCAGTCTCATTATTCCAAATGATCCGGGGTCATTATCCCACATTATCCAATCTCGTTATCCCAAATTATCCAATCCCATTATCCCAAATTATCCCAAATTATCCAATCCCATTATCCCAAATTATCCCAAATTGTCCCGGGTCGTTATCCCAAATTATCCCGGGTCGTTATCCCAAATTGTCCCGGCTCATTATCCCAAATTATTCTGGCTCATTGTCCCAAATTATCCAATCTCATTATCCCAAATTATCCAATCCCATTATCCCAAATTATCCAATCTCAATATCCCAAATTATCCCCGGCTGTTATCCTGGTTTTTCCTGGCTTGTTATTCCACATTTTCCTGGGTTTTGCCATTTTTTCCCCATTTTTTCCCCATTTTTTCCCATTTTTCCCAGGATATTTTCCCAGGATTTTTTCCCATTTTTTCCCATTTTTCCCAGGATATTTTCCCAGGATTTTTTCCCATTTTTTCCCATTTTTCCTGAGATTTTTTTTCCCATTTTTTCCCCTCTTTTAAGGCACCACCCACACGCTCTTCACTCCGTGGCATTCCATCTCCATTTCCCCCTTTTTCCCTTTTTTTCCCATTTTTTTCCCCGTTTTTTCCCATTTTTCCTGGGATTTTTTCCCAGGATTTTTTCCCATTTTTCCTGGGATTTTTTCCCATTTTTCCCATTTTTTTCCCCATTCCAGGCGCCACTCTCAGCTCCGTTGCGTTCCATCACAGTTTCCTTATTTTTCCCCATTTTTTCCCCATTTTTTCCCATTTTTCCCAGGATTTTTTCCCATTTTTCCCATTTTTTCCCGTTTTCCAGACACCACCGCCGCGCTCTCCACTCCGTGGCATTCCATCGCCGTTTCCCCATTTTTCCCCATTTTTCCCATTTTTCC